ACTACTAGAAGATTCGTCACGTACGCACACAGGTGGCGCTAGTGTTCTTATTTAAAAAAAGCCAAGTGTCCAACCCTGACACACCCAAAAAAAAGTAATCTTATACTTAGAGGAAAATTCCTCTTCTAATATCCTCTAAATATTTCCTCTTAAAACAAGATTATTCAATTGAAATATAGAATATTTTTATTCTTCATTTTAATGGAAGAATGACAAAAGGATACCTTTTGTATTTTCCTCTTTAATTAAGATTTTCCGTTTTAAATTTAGAAGATTTAAAAAAAGGAAACGGAAAAAAATAATGTAATCGTTTGATCCCTTTCCCTGGGTATGATAGTTGTGAAGTTGTTTTTTAACCTTTCAGTTTTAATATTTCTGGTAAAATGTCAACAAAAAGGACAAAAAAATGGATTTGCTTTATTAAAAATACAGAAAATATAGTTAAATTCCAATTAAATGAATATTTTTAACGCTATTTTTAGATTTAAAAAAATTTGGATATTTCTTGTGAAATTTTACTACTCAGGTAAATAGAAATACTATAACCCCATTTTTGAATCTTTCGAATTTTTTAAATCTTTTTATTTACTTTTTTAAAAAAGTTTTAAAACGTTAAATAATTTCATATATGAAATTTTTTTCTGTCCTATAAAAAATGTTAACTTTTAAACATATCATCATGTTTTAAAATTATTTTTGCGCTGAAAATCTCGTTGATCATTACAACAGATTAATGAAAACTTATTTTTTGTATTTTAATTATCAATATAAAATGTTGATAATTAACCAAAAACATGACATTGTTAATGTTATATTAAAAAACAATTTTTATTATTATATTGAAATGAACTATTATAATTTTACTTAATTTTAATTTAAAAATGTATTTTCTGCAAAGATTTTATTATTTGATTGAAATTATAAATATTTTATTGATGGCTTTGACATTAAAAACAATTTTACGAGGTTTGGATGTCGACATTTAATTTAAGAGGAAAATCCTCTTAAATGAAGAATAATAATTTTGATACCAAAATTAAGAGGAAAATATGCATTTATTTTAGAGGAATCCTCTAGATTGAAAATTACTTTTTTTAGGGTGCACTATTCCCCTAATAATAGTTATTTTTTATGAACGCGCCGTAATTGATGCACTTACCCTAATATTTAAAAATATTTAATTATTTATTTCTCTATTTCTTATTTTAAAGTTTTGCTCTTAAATAATAATTTTAAGTAATTTTATTGAAAGTTCTACGTATAAGAAAGTGCTATTTGACGTGTAATATTTTTTGTAATAAAGGGTAATACTCAGTAATATATGTGTAATGCTTTGTAATACAGTAATATTTTGGTAGTAGTATGTGATACTTGTAAAAAGTGTAATACTAAGGTAATAATGGTAATATGTGTAGTTGTAGTAAAGTGTACACAATTTTTACTAGTAAATTCCCCCTCGTACATTTTCAAGAATTTTTTTTTTCCCGAAGATATTAAATGAAATAAGGCAAATTTTTATTTGCTTGAAAGATACATTCCTAAAGAAAAGAAATAAAATATTTTATTTTATTATTTTTTACATTAAAATAGAAACAATGTAAAAAAAATTTTATTGCAAAAATATTATTTTGATAAAAACGCGTTTAATATTCTAAACTATAAAAAAATTGCAAAAAAGAAAAAATCGATTTTTTGACCGATCACATTGGGATCCTTCTTTAATTAAATAAAAATTGCAATTAAATTTTTTCAAAAATTTACATTAATTATTTAAAATAATTTTTGGTAGAACAATGACCTGATCAAAATGATGTAATAAATTTTCTTATTATTGTTTCATGATCGCTTTTCTACCAATATACATTTATATAGTTAAGAATATCTCTCATTATCATAATTAAAGTTTCACATATATATATATATATATATATATTGATTTAGAGGAAAAAATTTAATCTTTATTGTCGCGCGCGTTATAAATTACAAACATGATATTCGAGAAATCATCAAAACGTTTATTGACAAGAAATTAAAATGAAAAATATGTGTTATCAAAAAGCTTTGAATACCGTTATCTATGAACAATATCAAAATGGGTGGTGCGATTCTTGGTTAAACCAATAGAAATTGCTTGCGATGCTTTACCTCCATACACGTGACCCTTTGAACGTACGTCATATCTCTGACCCCACGCAAGGCAAATCGAGGAATAATAAGAGTTTTAATAACATCTTCATATATTTTATTTTGTTTCCATATTATCGAATTATGACGCGGTCAAACAATCAACATAATACATATTTTTATATTTAAAAAAAAATCTAGTTTTAGTAAAATAGAAAAGAATAATAAAATTATCTATACTTATTTTTCAAAATTAAAATATTTTATATCAATTTTGGTTTTAACAGAAATTATATATATATATATTGTTTGATTTTAAGACTAAGGAGTCCAGAAAAATAAGGAATTAATGTGTAAAATAAAATTAGCAGTAATATTAGAACAGATTAATACCAGATTGTTTCTTATTAATACCGGATTTTTTAAATACAAATTCCGGACTCAATTTAAGGTTTTTGATCGACCTAAAATTAGATATATAGTGTTACTGACTGATTTCATAGAAGTTTCGGACTATTTTCGTACAACAGTCTGGATAGATTCAGTCCGATTAAAAAATGACCAATTCTATATATAATAGGAGCTAAAATCACTATACTTAATCATAATTGAAAAAATTTCATTACCAATGTCAGGAAAACTTAGATGAAGCAAAAAAACGTCTGTTTGTGCAGAAAAATTTGACGGTGAAACTTAAAAAACTTTCCCAGTAATGTTTAGAAAAAATTCTGAAAAGAACTTTTTTTTATCCTCTGTCTATGTACAACAATTTTAGATTTTTCCCTCTCACACTGCTTCTTTAAATATTTGCATGAATAATTAAACTTTAAAATAAATTTAAAAAAAAGAAAGAAAGAAGATTGTTTATTTTAGTTACGACAAACTTCTCAGAATTACACCTAGAGAAATCACAGAAAATTAAAAGGCATAAAAATAAGCTGCAACGCTTATTATTTTAATCCAATTTTGCTTATTTTAATCCATTTTGGTATTAAAATAAGCAAAATTGGATTAAAATAATCAGCGTTGCAGCTTATTTTAATACCTTTTAATTTTCTGTGATGTTTTATTTGAACCAAATATAATATATTTAAGTTAAATAAACGTATATTTGTCTCACAGCCTACTAGCCCATTTATTTGTCGTAAATAAAAATTTTTTATTTAAATCAAATAAAAATTTATTTCAATCAAATAAATATTTATTAGGCTGTGAGACAAATGTACCATTTTTCTGGGTGAAGTACTTGAACATCAAATTTATTATTACTTTCCTTCTCTGATTAAAATTTTTATCTCCATAAATATTGTGAAATATTTTAAATTACCAGAGAGGGGAAAATGAAATAGTAGTTTGTATTTAACATTGTTGCGCCATCTATTGAGGTTAGACTAAACTAAGTCAATAATTTTTTTTACAAAACTCGCTAATAGGTAATGTAGAAACCTAGGCAAGGGGAGTTTTAAAAGAAATACACTTGTGCGCCAAGTAGTGCCAGTAATGCAGATACCTGACAATAATTTAGTCTCGTATGGTAGCCAGTAAGTAGGTACTAATGCAAGTAGCGCCGCCTAGTTTTTTTAAAATGACTTATTTAATTATAAATAGGGTAATCGGTACAATGATTGGCCACCCTACAATGATTGGCCGTCTTGATGAAATATAAATATAATAAGAAAGAACTAACATCAAATCATTTTTCAATTTATGCTTAATAAACTTCACACAATTACGCTGCGATCATTTCAGTCGGGATTATCTGGTCCTTCATTATTAATTTAAATTTAATTATTTATTTACGTGTTCTGAAAACAAAGTTTGACAGCAAAGAATACTATGGTGATCAGTAGTGTACCCTAATAAAAGATTAGAAATTTTTTAGTGTAAAAATATGTTTTTAAGAAAATTTGTTCTTATATAAACTTGCAGTGGTTACAAATACACGATAAAATAGTTTTTTATTTAAAAATATAACGTTTTTTTAATTTATTGGGAGGCCAATAATACCCTCTTTGAATTGTACGAAAATACAATGATTGGCCATGGTGGCTAAAGAGGCCAATGACTGTAGTTTTCAAAAATATTGTAAAATATTATCAAACATTTTTTACAACACTTAAATATTTGTTTTTAATAAGTCTGTTTATGTAAAAATGTTAAATAACCTTAAATTACAATTTTTGGCCACGGCCAATCATTGTACAACGATAGGGGCCAATAACTGAAAATTCAACATTTTATTTTGCCACCAGTGTCGCCTCTGTTGCTTTCAAAAAAGTACAGGTTATACCTATAATTCTAATAACTTCATGTTAATAGGAAAGGTGGCCAATCATTGTATTTAAAAACTTACAGAGGCCAATGATACAATTATTGGCAACTGCCAATCACTATGTTTTTAAGGCCAATAAATGTATTTTCTGACATTTGCATTATTTTCTTAACATATCTGTTATTTAAAATTTTCCTATTTTTTTCTAATTACTAATATTTAAAATAGAATAAATTTATGGGCGATTAGTGTTTCTCAAATATTGTTTTGACATATGGTGTGAATTCGACAGTAAGTCAAACATAAAAATTTTCTTAGGGGGGCCAATCATTGTACCGATTACCCTAAGTAATTTTATGCAAATAAAATAGAAACTTATTTTTATTAAATAAAAACAAAAATTTCATTTTAATAATTAATTAAATAATAATAACAATAATAATGAAAAAAATTGTACCTTATTTTAAAATAAAAATTATGGGTCAGTCCACGTCAGATATATGACAATCTGCAAATGGTTCTCTGACTTTAATGAAACTTGATGAAAATGAGAGCTAAATATTTGTAAGTAAAAAGATTTTGTAAAATATTTTAAATTAATCCATTTTGTTTATATAATATTTTATTCAGATCGAGATGTAAATAATACAAATTTTATTTTTGTTTAAACAAATAAATTTACATTCTTCATTTTTTCTCAGACTTTGGTGTTGTCGAATGGTCATTCGCAATTGATGAAGCATCTTCTTGAGCTTCCTTCAAAGCTTTAAAAATTTCATCGAATCCCTTTTGCAATTCCTCAAAAAATTCCTCTGGTAAAAAATAATAATATAAGTTATTGTTTTATTTTTATTATTTATATTTAATTTAATTATTATGCAGTGATCGTAGGTTTTCATTTAAAATCTATGCAGAACTTAATTGGTTGGTTTTGATAAAAAAAACTAGTTTTTCTACTGGAAATGGCCAATCAAGTTCTGCAAAAATATTTACAAATGTAGATTTGTGACGCACTCTTATTTTAACAAATCATAAAGGTTGTTTCATAGATGCTTAACTGAATAAAGGTTTATTCACAATGCAATTCAGTTAAAGGCGTTAAAGCTTTAAAGGACAAATACATAACAGAGGAATCTCTCATATGTGACACCTCTGATAAGTGACACTTTCTTTATTCTAGTTCACAGTCTAAAGAACAACGCACAATAAATTAGAATATTGGTTGGTTTCCATAGTCCCCACTCGCCATTTGTCATAATTCTCGTCAACTACCGCACCCTGCTCTAGTAAAAATTTAGTAACTTTTAATTTTAACAATAAAGTTACTTAATTTTTACTAGAGCAGGGTGCGGTAGTTGACGAGTATTATAATGTCATGACTTTTCAAAATGTCATCAAACCGGAAGGAATTTGGTTGCAATTTAGTTACTAAAACTTACACCCACAGCTAACTGTCACATATGGGAGGTTTCTATGTAATGAAGAGAAACTTCGTTCGTAAACCTTATAAAAAAAATGTCCCAAATATGTTTTTGTTCTTTTCTATCTCATTATTCAAATTCGTAAATAATTTTGATGAAATTGTAATTTAAAATAAAGTGTACATACTAATTTCTTCAAGATCACTTAAGGAAATGTCTTCCTCTGTATCGTCATCCTCATCTTCATCTTTCTTTTGTTCTGCTACTGCCGCTTCAACTTCTTGAAATAAAAATATATTATAATTATTAATTTAATGAAACTTATTACTAATAATTTCACAATTAATTATGAAATATAACAAACCTTCAGGTTTTACTTCCTCTTTTTCATCAGGAACTGGTATTGATTTAACATTTTCTGCAAGAAAATTAAATTATTAATAACTTTTAATTATTAATAAAAATTACAATTTAAGATTTTTTTTTACTCTCTAAATTTGAATTAATAAAGAGTGAGCTACTAATTCACATTAGTAAGAATTTTTACTATTTTTTAGTAGTTTTAAATTTTTTTAGAAAAGTTAGAAAGAAGGGATAAACTGTTGAGATGAAAAATTATGTATTAAATATTATTTATAGGTATTATTATATTATATTATATAGGTAATAAATATATGTTTATAATGGAACAATGTTTTTTTAAATTATAAATTTAAAAAATTAACTTAATAATTTTAAAACATTTTGCTTGATTTAAACAAAATTTGGTTTAATTAAAAAAAAAAAAAATTAATTTCTCTATTAACGAGCATACCGGTGCAAACAAAAAGTACAAGACCAAAAAGCAGGAAAACTTTGAAGTTCATCATGTTGAGAAATCGTTGGACTTTACAACAAAGACTGATAGTTTTTACGCTTGACTCTCCCAGTTATATACTAAATTATTGTAATCTTGTAATCAGCTGAATCATTAATGACCATGAAAAATTTATTGCTTTATGCACATTAATGACAGGTTTACAAGATATATCTACTTTGCGTTTGCATTGAAACAAAAGTAATCAGGAAAAAATTCTTAAAAATTTAATTTAGATATTGAACTTCATTGATTTTATATAATTTTATAAATTTTTGTCCTATGTGTATATAAACAATTAACAATGATATATAAATTCAATGTCTTTCTTTCTCTCTCATTGAATTCATAGAATGTTTCAATTCCCAGAAATTTGTCAGTGAATTTAAAAAATATTGAGGATAATGTAAAATCTTCATTTCTGGTTTTGATGCAAAGTACCTATATGAAACTTGATTAGACGCAGATATAATTACTGAATTAGTATTCACACTGATAATAGTTTTGATAATAATATGAAATATAAAGAAAAGTTTTTTTGATCTTCTGACAGGTTTAAATACATTTATATAATCAATATCTGCCATTAATATAATATTTATGTGTTCGAAAATTATCGAGGGGAAATTTACTAGTAAAAATTGTGTACACTTGACTACAACTACACATTAGTATTACACTTTTTACAAGTATCACATACTACTACCAAAATATTACTGTATTACAAAGCATTACACATATATTACTGAGTATTACCCTTTATTACAAAAAATATTACACGTCAAATAGCACTTTCTTATACGTAGAATTTTCAATAAAATTACTTAAAATTATTATATAAGAGCAAAACTTTAAAATAAGAAATAGAGAAATAAATAATTAAATATTTTTAAATATTAGGGTAAGTGCATCAATTACGGCGCGTTCATAAAAAAATAATTATTATTACTATTATATTTAATATAACTGTTGCAAAATGATTTTAAAAAAAAATTATTTTAATCTTTTTTTGATACAATTACTAATAAAGATGCACATTTAAACAATTATTAATTAAATTATTTGAGATCAAATTTTTTCCCTCGCCGTAATTGAAACATTTTTAATATTTCCATTGGCTCCAATTTCGGCGGGCAAAGTATCTTCAAAATACACGTAATTTTGGTTACCGTAATTGATACACCTTAACTGATACAAACGTGCCGCAATAGAAAATTGCGGTATTAGCTTTAATTTCTCATATTTGTTTAAATAATCGATTTTTATAAAGTTAAACATTTTTTTAACATCTAAATAACATAACCTTTCAGTTTAATAAGTCTTAAATTTAGTTTATACAATAGAAATGTCGAATTTTCTATTTCAAAGGTGTTTTGATTCGAATCGCGCCGCAATTAGTGCATTTATCCTACTTATAAAATATATAACTTATTTGTTTTAAACTTTGGACGAAAAACTGAACAAATATAATTTTCTATATTATAATATCCGTGAGCATCCATGTTTATATAACGTTTAATATTTGGTTTTTTGCTATCTTAAACCACGAACACAAACAACCTGAGCCTCGTGCATTTTGTTTCGGTGTAATTACAGGAGCAGATGTCTTTCTGTACTCGATTTTTTTACTTATTCCGGTAAGGTAGCTAAAAGCTAAAATTCGTTCAATTACTAAAGAACCATTTTTTGATTTGATTCTGAAAACATTCAATGGCAAAGTTGCTATACTTCAGCATTAACTCCCGCGCTACATTTGAACAAGTGTTTAAAAATTTTTACTTATATTAACATTTTTTGGTTTGATTTTTTTTTAATTTTTTAAGGTATTACACCATAATACCACAATATTACAAGTATTATACAGTATTACATGGTATTACACAATAATACTTATTATTACAAGATATTACAAAATATTACAGATATTACCGAGTATTACCAGGCAAGTGTACACTTGACTACCAGAGTAAATTCCCCCTCGAAAATTATTAATTTTAGTAAAAATTTTAAAAGCTCTTTTATCTGTGAAATTAGTCCTATCAAATAATATTTTAAAAGACCTTTTCCTTTCAAATTTTTAAATTTCAACTTTCTTAATTTTTTTTATTGATTGCAAAGAAAAAGTCAAAAATTTTAAAAATGAATTTTGTGAATTTCTTTATTATCTTAAAATTTTTGAAAATACACTTTTCCACTTAAAATTTTTTTATTTTTAAATAATACCAAAATTCCCTAGGTCTTCTTAAAAGTATAACATGAAATATTTTTAAAATGTATGTAATATATAATTTATATAAATCATGATAAATCGTTTATCATTTTACAATGAATAAAACATGTATATACTCTATGAATTCTTTATGAATAAACGCATCATTCTTTCAAATGTGAAAGCTAAACCTGTTTATAATAATCAAAGTGACCGAAACCACTATACAATAATAATATATACTTCGCTCATATATAACATTAATAGGAATAATAACAATTATTTACCAGTTGATAAATAATTATTTACTTTCTGAATTTCTGATTTCAACATTTTTATATAAAAATATTTTTTCCTCTAAAATTTTTTTTTATCAAAATTTTGCATATTTTACCCAAAAAAAACCATGAATTTTAAAACTTTTTTATGGTTTTCATCATAAAAACTGATAGAAAAATTTAGTTGATTCAAATAATCGGTTACTTGAATATTAAATAAATATTTACTTGAACCAAATAATTTTTATTTTTATTAAATAAACTGTAGTTAAACCGCAATAATTTCTGTATTTAAAACAAATACCATGTAACTTACTTAAATAATAATTATTTGATAGCAATAAATATTTATTTGATAATAGTCAAGCAACCGATTATTTGAATCAAATAAATAAAAAAACCTTCTGTTTTTTGTCAAATATTTTTCAATAGGGTAAGTGTACCAATTACGGCGAGTGCATCAATTACGGCGCATTCATAAAAAATAACTATTATTACTATTATATTTAATATAATTGTTGCAAAATAATTAAGGGCATGTAAAAGTTGTTTCGGTTTGCTCATAGTAATCCAATGTTAAAATTGACTCAACTTTGACACGCCCTTAAAAAAAAAAAAATTATTTTATTTTTTTTTTAAACAATTACTTATAAAGATGCACATTTAAACAATTATTAATTTAATTATTTGAGATCAAATTTTTTTCCTCGCCGTAATTGAAACATTTTTAAGATATTCATTGGCTTCAATTACGGCGGGCAAAGTATCTTCAAAATACACGTAATTTTCGTCACTGAAATTGATACACCTTAAGGCCAGGTCTAAGTCGTGTCAGCTGTTCCATTGAAACTTCAAAGGAACAGCTGACTCGACTTGGACCTGGCCTTAACTGATACAAACGTGCCGTAATAGAAAATTACGGTATTAGTTTTAATTTCTCATATTTCTTTAAATATAACGAAGCTGAAGTACGCAACGTTTGTTATATAAACGATTTTTAAAAAAATAATTTTTAAAATGAAAAGTTCTATAATTTTTTACCTAAAAAATATTTTTTTATAATTTGTTGGTTAAGACCATGTGGGCAAAGGACGTTTTTTTGTGGTTTCCAACTTTCTCTGGAATAAATAATGATTTCGGGTTAAAATATTCAAAAACTTGATAAAGGAGGGTGCAAAGTATAGGGTTGTTCTTCACTTAACGTAAAAATAATAAAAATAAAACAATAAATAGTAAAATAATGTATTTAGTTGTAGTTCATTCAGTGGCCTTTTGCTCGAATTGGCGCTGTTTACTGGAGCACTGACACACTCAAGCAACGTCTGTGTATGCGCCGCCATCTTTGTTGTCATTTTCATTTAAAAATGTCACTTTTTAAACTTAGTTTTTAAATAATTTAACGCAAACTTAAGTTTTTTCAGGAGAACAGCGCGATGCATTGTACCCAAATCTATCAACCCTCAAAATTTTAGTTTAAAATCTTTTTTCATTTTAGAGAAAGTTGGAATATTGCAAAACACATTTTCCCATACTAAGTCACGTGGGTTTCTCCCACATGCCGTTAACGAAAACTACAAGAAATATTTTTTAGGCAAAAAATTATAGAATTTTTCATTTTAAAAAATTATTTCTTTAAAAATTGTTTATATAAACGTTGCATACTACAGCTTCGTTAAATAAATGATTTTTATAAAGTTAAACATTTTTTTAAATATCTAAATAACATAAACTTTTAGTTTAATAAGTCTTCAATTGACTTTATACAATGGAAATGTCGAATTTTCTATTTCAAAGGTATTTTGACTCGAATCGCGCCGTAATTAGTACATTTACCCTATTCTATTTATTGAGAAATATTTAATTTAGTTGATTTAGCTATTTAAAAAAATATAAAAAAATACAATTACAATGGATCTTTGGTAAATTTCTGTTTGACGTTTATAGGTTAGGTCTAAATGTTTATTTTTGCTTTCATATTTAGTCGTGTTACATGACTCGCGAGTCAATAATAATTTCGACGTATATACTACATTTTCTACGTATTTTACGTAAAATACGTAGAAAATGTAGTATATACGTCGAAATTATTATTATTATTAAGCCCGGTAAGAAGCGAAGAATTGAAAAGAATTCAGAATCTGAATTCCTTTGAATGGGTGATTTTACGTTTTTATTCAATTCCTCGATGAAGCAAAAAAAAGTAGAAAAATCTATTCTTCTTAATTGACTTGGCCAAAATTTATACTCTAAATTATACATGTAACCTGACGCAGTCAATTGCAAGGCATAAAGATACCTCATTTAATCTACAAATTTTCTATTCCTCTAAATACGCTCCTGATGTCATGACACAGTCAATTAAAAGGAATAGACATATCCACTTCACTCTCCAAATTTCTTATTCCTTTCAATGCGCTTCAGAAATTTTGATACTGTCGATTGAAAGGAATAGATATTTAAAATTTACTCTCCAAACATTTAATTTTTCTCTATTCCTCGCTTCTTACCGGGAGGCGCTTGTACACCTCACAAATTCTAAGTATACTCGGAATTTGTCAAAAGTTATACTAATTTTGATTGGCCTTGCACATAAAGAATTTCCAAAAGATTGGAAAATTTCGA